GAAGAAGCTTTGCTGCTCTGGCTGTGCGGTGTAAAAGTGTGTCTGACGCGCGTTGGGCGGAGCTACTCTATCCTTTCTTTGCCTTGCAGTGTTAATAAAGTAGTTTTATCATGTTTTTAAGTGGGACAATCCACCTGAAAACTTAATCAGTGCAGTCAGTTCATCCATATCCGCCTTCCAATATTTCTGTGGGAGCCGCTCAGACCCCCCCATACCAGCGGTGCGCTGTCAGTAGGATCCCATTCAACGGGCTTGTTTGTCAGACATGGTAATTTTTCTAAAGGAAAACTGCTAAGTAAAAAGGTCCTCACAATGTAACAGTGAATATTAGACACAGAAATTTTTTTTTTAATGTAAGAGGAAAAATGTAAATGGAAAAATCAGAGCTTAAAATAAAACTCAAGATTTGTACTTTTTTATGTTGTATAATTTTCTTTTTCTTCGAATTGATATTATAAAACTGGTATCGAAAAAAGTATCGTTCAGGAACCGGTATCGAAGTGAAGGTATCGGTATTGGTACCGGAACCGAAAATTTTTGAACAATACCCAGCCCTAGAGATCAGTAACTAATGAAATAAACATGAGCTGCTTCAGCTGTTATGTCAAAGCTCCCCGTGGTGAGATAGATGGAAACTTACTCTGAACAACTCTTTCAGGTCATAGAACTGGCCGTGAATATCTCCACACACCTGAAACAGGAAAAACCTTTTTAGAAAAAACTCAGACCAGCAAGTATTCAGCAGTTTAATGCTACTCACTGTGACTGGAGAGTCCACCCTCTGAACGTTGCTTTCTTCAACCAGGATCTCTCTGAAAACACATTCAGATCAACATTTAAGTACAATCTCATGCTTTTAGTTTCATCCTCATCTTTTTTTTCAAGGAGTTTTGCAGTTTTAACAGCTTATAAACAAGTCTGTCATACTAAATGTCAATAAAGGATTTTATTCGGAAGGACTCAGCTCTGGATGTCAGGGATTTCTGTTGTTTGTGTGGAAAGCATCACCACAGCTTTAACTTTGATTTAACATCCAAACTTTCCATTTCTGAGGTGGAGATCCTGCTGCATGCAGGGAGAGACCAGGAGGTGATTTATGACTTTAATGCCTGCAGTCACTAACTGTACAGGTATTTACAGTTTAGTCAACCTGACGGCACAGATACGAGTCTACACCCTTCTAAGGGTTTATTAGAGGAAGAAAAGTAATTTCCCTCTGGGATTATTAAAGTATTTCTGATTCTGATAGATAAAATTAGCAACAAACCACAGCAGCTTTTAAAGAATTATTTAGAAGAATGTTCCTTTTAACTTAGAACACTTTTATTGTCATTTTTTTACACAGAGTGTATACAAAATGAAATTTAACTTTGTACAGCTCTCATGACATTTCCATTTCTTTAAGTGCAGCCGTGATCAAATTTAAACATTGGGAGAAAATTAAATATATATGGTGCAAATTCGCAGTGTTATCAGTTTGAGGCAGTCTGTGAAATGATTTAGAGTTGAGCTGTCTGATGGGGGGTGGAGAAGAACTCATCACATTTTAAGGTTCTTATTAGAGGAATTTTATTATACAGAATTTAAATTCTAGTTAAGCTGTAATTATTTCCCTAGTGTTTATATTTCAAAGTATTACCAAATTTAAATCACTCTGTAGAGTTTTACCAGAGGACGCAGATTGATCAGAATCATCTGGTGGCGCCCAAATCGTAAGATCGGAGTTCTAAAGATGGATCAACGCAGGCCGATCTGGGGATGTTTATCACAACAAACCTATTCCTATTTTGTAGGAATTAAAGGAACAGCTCAAGACTGGTTTACCGTAATTTTCGGTAAATTCGGTAATTTTTCGACCTTGCGGCTTATATAACAATGCGGCTTATCCATGGATTTTTACAACTAACGGCCACTAGCGTAATACCTAAATCTATGGATTTTACCATCCACCATGTTGACGTCACATTTGCTTAAACACACAAGTACGGTAGCCGCGCGCGCGGGAATGCGGAGGTCCTCCGGAAGCAGACTTCTACCATGAGTAGTACGAGACAGAACGACAGCGAGAAAGACGGATATTAAACATAAAAAACTCTGCGGCTTATAGTCCGAAAATTT